AACTGAAGATATCCAGTATGCAGAGGAAGAACAATCATGATACCAATGACAGACAAATCGAAACTGAAAAATACATCTGCAGGATAATGACATTCGTAATAAACAACTTGTAGATTCGAAGTATGATAATTACCTATTGAGAATAAATACCATATAAAAGACATTTTACGACCACTAACGTCGAACAAAATACGTAGAAAAAATGTGTAACAGGTATTTCTTTGTCCATCCTTGCAAAATGACATCAACACCGTACAATAATCTGACACGTTTTAGCTGTATTGTTCTTTGTACAAACCTGTTCGTAACGTAATGGCCTTATTTGATGCTTAAGCGTGTTATCAAATATTTTGTCAACGTTGTGTAACGGGTGGACTTAATGGTGATACTGTCTACGCGTTATTACCATACAACAACAATAGCATGAAACGCTGATTGTGGACTTCGATCTTAGTTTACGATGCAAGAACAATGATCTTAACTTTTATGGTACAGTCCTTTGTAACGTAACTGACCTAATATATGAAGGAATTCGAAAACCTCATTTCATTGTAGAGAAATATTATGGAATTCTGATCCGCACGCTTACAGCCTTACATGTGTTGATGTCTTCTTCGAGAGTACGTTACGGGCAGTAGCAAGATAATCAATCATTTTAAATCTATGATTGCGATAACATTAGCACACGCATCTAGCGGATGAAGAAAGTGAATTGCAAGAGTCATCATAAAGTTGGAGACATACTTGCTTATCAGCACTTTTTTTTTTTTTTTTTTTTTTTTTTTTTTTTTTTTTATGGAGGGTCTACTCTGAACTTTTCTCCATTAGTCATCCTGAGAGTGAAAATTCCTTCGGTGGCGTTCCTGATACCCGGGGTTCCTGTCGGTAACCCTGGACAAATAATCCTCTGCAATTTCAACAACACACACACACACACAAGACACACAACACACACCACACACAAAACAACACACACACACACACACACACACACACTCACACACACACACAACACAACACAACACAAAATCACTACATATGTGAATAAAAGAATGGACCATAACATTATAGCCCTCCTCCTTGATGAAAGGAAGATCGGCCATGTCTATATAGAAGAACTATCATGATTCAACAACCACTTCTCTCGCAAACCTGCTGCACAGGACTATCGAGAGAACACATGTCATAACAGGGCTGCGGACCCTTGAGCGAACCCAGCCTCACACACCGTAAGGATAGGTCTTATTCCTCTGCAGAGTTACGCACACCCACTGCAGTCACTCCTTGTTCCGGAGCACAATGGCGACTCGGCAGCGTTACCTGCAGAGATTTTCAGACTGTTTTAAGTAGACCATACAGATCAGTAGGAGACGAGTGTGTCAGAACACAGCGTTAAAAGTCGCATAGTTGAAATCAAAATTAGAAGCAGAGTATGTGGAAAGTAGAGGAGAAAGAGAGGAGAGATATAGAACGAGGATAAAAACGATAGTGAATAGGATGTACAAGTGAGAAGGAGTTATAGAGGAGAGAGGAACTGTGAGAAGATGAGAGTGGGGAGAATGGAAAATTAGGTATGGACAGAATGATCAACAGGAGTATTGTAGAAACAGAGCGGAGGCACGCAGGAAGTGGCGAGATAGGGGAGTTTGTGGGGTGGAGTTTATACAGGCAGGAGAAGAGAATAAGGTAGGAGGAGTAGGGTGGCCTATTACCGGGTGCTATATGGACGTGTAAGAGAGAAGGAAAGGAGAGGGCAGAGGGTTGTGGATGTTTGTGTCAGCATCTAGATAATCTTATAGAGTATATAGAGAATGGTGAGAGAAGGAGTGGAGATGAGTTGGGGGTGGAGAGTGAGGGTCGAAAAAGGAAAAGCGAGGAGTTCGTGAGAGAGTAAAGAGATGACACGAGATGTAGAAAAAGCAGGTGGACGGAGAGAGAGATGAAATTGAGAAAGCATAGATGCGTGTAAGTTAAGGTGGGTTTAGTGCCTGATTTTGGTATTTCGGTCGAATGTGAAAATGACAACAAAAGATTCCCCTTCCACACAACTGAGAGAGAGTAAAGAGGAGGTGGAAGGAGGACGAAAAGAGAACGGTAATGGTAAAATGATGGAAAAGAAACAGTGCTAAGGAGAAATGTGTGAGGTGTATATAAAGCGAAGGGGTGCGCAGGGATATTAATTAAGGGGTGGATGGAAGGTGAGTTGGCCTGGATGAGATAAGAAACGCAGAGAAAATGGGACACAGGAACAAGGGATTAAGACGCCATGAAGCATAAAGAGGGAGAGGAAGACATATAGTAGAAAGATATGGAAAAAGCAAAGAAATAAGAAAAAAAAAAAGCGGATACGATTTAAAAAAGAAAGAATAAAAAGGACTAGAGACTGAAGAATGAACTGAAGGCATCTACGGCGAGCTTCACGACAATTAGTCACATAAAGGATAAACTCAGAAGAGAAAGCAAGGAAGATAAAGACAAGAGAAAGTATAAAAGAGAAGATACACGAATTGTAAAAAGTATATGGTTAAATTAGAGAGCCAAGGCCGACGACGTTATAGATTGAAACAGAAGGACAGCAGGACCGAAACGTAAAGAACGTAGTGGGAAGAGAAGGAAAGGACAGATGAAAAGACGGGAGATAAGAGAGGGGTGAAGGAAGAAGAAGGAAGTACAGAGAGGAAGAAAGCAGGAGAGAAGATGCAATGGGAAAGAGAGAGGAAGAGAGAGATGACAAGGAAAAGAAAGAGGAAGAAGATGCAAGGAAAAAAGAAAGTAGGAAGAAGATGAGAGGAAAAGGAAGAAGAGGAAAAAGAAGAAGAAGAAGAAGAAAAGCAACAGGGAAACGCAGACGCAACGAGATCAAACGAGATGTGAAGCAAATCATCTCGACCCTGGCATTCGGGTTGGGCGGCGAGGAACAGAAGTCAGGAGAGCCCTTCGAGGAAAAAAAAAAAAAAGTGTGAAGGGCAGCGAGTGGTTCTGCCATTACATGGTAACGAGAAGAAAAAAAAATACAGGCCGTGACGTCACTGGGCACAGAGTATAAGTACGGAGACTCTCCTCGACCAGACATTGCTAGTGTCAACCGAGTTACACAAATGAACGCTAAGGTGAAAATCTGGTTTGAGTTTTATACTTAATATTTTTAATGTTCAGTTACATATCTATTTTCTTAAACCAGTATCGAAACCTCAGGTATAGTGCCAATCTGATATGGTAATCTTCTGTTACAAATCAAGGTGCAAAGTCAATAAATGGTACATTATCTCCGTAGGTCCTCATCTTGCTGGGCGTGGTGGCTGTTGCGGCTGCAGATAAGCTGCCGGCCTACTCTTACAACGCACCTCAGGTGGGTAGTCCAAATATGCTTATATGTATGTTTGTATATATCATAACGCATCAGGTGTACGTATTCAAATGTGTATATAGTTATGCAAATACTGCATATATATGCACGTATGTATATACAAGTATATACAATTTATACACATGTTTTATGTGTAATCTATAGGTGTATGTCTAAAGATATATACTGATATATATAAAGAAAATATAAACACATATGTATCTATATACAGACAGATAGGCACACACACCACACACACACACACAACACACACACACACACACACACACACACACATAACACAATATATATATATATGTATTATATATATATAATATAATATATTCATGTATATATTTACTGTACATATGTCAATGTCTCTCTCTTTTGCTATTTTCACCATATATAGACAAATCTTTTTTTGTCTTTGCGCACGCATGTGTCTTTTAGATTATGTGTCCAAGTCTATATGTATTATCAGCAATAATTAGAAGAATGAACAAAAGAGTAATAAAGGCATATTCACAGGGCTCTTTCGAGGATTCGGTGGAGTACGATGATGCCAAGTACGACTTCAACTGGGCTGTGAAGGACTCCGACTCCGGCAACGACTTCGGCCACCAGGAGTCCCGCGACGGCGACAACACTCAGGGATCCTACTACGTGCAGCTCCCCGACGGCCGCCTGCAGAAGGTCACCTACTACGTGGACGGCGACAACGGATACGTTGCCGACGTGACGTACGAGGGCGAGGCTCGCTATGACTCTGTGGAGTCTCGCGAATACGGGGCCCCCAGACCCGTGTACTCCGCCCCCGAGTCCCACGAGTCAGTTGAGACTCCCGTGTACACCCCACCACGACCCCAGTATGCCGCCCCCAGGCGCTCCTACGGGTTCCCTCAGTAACTTGGCATTGAGTATTTATAGCTGTTATGAAATAGCCGCTGTATTAAACTATATATTTATGGATGAGACCGAAATAAAGATGCATTATTTTTAAA